TGCCTGTTCTGCTCCCCACTCTCTCTGGTGAAACCTCTCACTGCCCCTGCACCTCTGGCCTGTACTCCAGTTCTGTATGTGTAAATAAATAATTTTTTTTTTAATCTTACCATAACCTGGCCTTATCCTTGCCAGTGCTTCACAACAGGTATACCTCTCCACCTCAGGGTCTTATCTGCTGTTCTCTCTGCTTAAAATGTTCTTCCCTTGATGCAAAATGATGTAAAAATAAACTGTTATAAAAAAAAATGTTCTTCCCTATATAGCCTTGCAGCTACTTTTACTTTTTTACCTCCTTTAGTCCTTTGCCTAGTCAACTTACCTAAATAACACAAAAAAGTGGTATTTTACAGGCTCCCCTGCTTTAATCTTACATATATGAATTAATTTGTTTCTGTCTTATGCACTACATTATACCTTCCTCAGAGTGGAGATTTTTACTGCTCTCAGACCTTCAGGAATTTTTGAGAGCATAGACCTTATGTTTTTGTTCAGCACCTGAAACTGACCCTTGCCTCATAATAGGTGTCCAGTAAATATTAATGTATGAAGAAACTTTCCAGAAAGGCACACATGTGAATACTGTATAAACTTTCACATGATGCATGAATGACTATGAAATCCATACGTAAACTTCAGGTTAAGCACATTTGGTTTTAGAAAATTGAATTATAAGTATTGCAGAAACTTAATCCTGTGGAAATTGATACATCCATTTAAGTTGAGAGGAAAATGTTTTCATGTGAGTTCATAAAACTACTATATATTTAACATTTAAGATAGGATTCTTTTACTAGTATGTTTATGTTTAGACTCATGGTATTTCCCATTAATGGCATTTGTCCAGAAAAGTCTTTTTATATAGCCACTTGAATGCTACATTTTGGTGTATTAGAAAGGCATTTCCAATAAGGACTCAGTGGAAGGCTAGTCTGATGTGTCAGAATTTTTTTTATTATAATAATTTATTTTTACATCATTTTGTGCCTTTTTCCATCTCAGTTGTAATTCCCATGGACTTCCCATCGCCAGTTTACCCATGAGGCATCACCATAGTCCCGCGCCCTACCCCCCCCCATTTTTGATCCCATTTCCCACTCCACCCCCGTAAAATGTCTCTGGTATATATAGTTCATTATTACTCCCCCCCCTTGGGCCTTTATGCTCCTGCTATGAGTGAAGCCATGCGGTGTTTTTCTGGCTTATTTCACTAAGCATGATCCCTTCCAGCTCCATCCATGTTGCTGCAAAAGGCATGAGTATCTTTCTTGATTACTGAGTAATATTCCATTGTGTAATGTACCACATCTTTTTAATCCAGTCATCTACTTTTGGACATTTGGGTTGATTCCATGTCTTTCCTATTGTAAATAGTGCAGCAATAATGATGTGTCAGAAATTTAAAATATTTTACAATAAATTTAATTTCGATGTTATTCCTCCCAAAATCTGAGGTCTTAATTTGATACATCTTGAACATTATTTGGGGAAGGGTAGAACATTTCTAAGAGCAAATGTAGTATTATTTATGAAGTTGGATTATTAAAATATTTGTAACAGATTTCCTATTTACACCCATCATTTTGTTTCTGTCTGACTCTCTAATTTTGTTTACTTTTGCAGCATTTTGCTTGTTTTTCCCCTTAGATTGCATATACATTTATTCCATAAAGTACCCAGAGAGCTTTCCCATTCTTTCTAGTGTTTTAACCCTAAAGGAGTTAATAATGGGGTTAATAATGAGCACCATCTTAATTTATACTAAAGGAAACTACATTGATAGGACTAAAGTCCATTATTGGGACTAACATTCAGAGTCTAGTTTGGAAATAATTAAAAAATCTTGCAGTTCAGTTTTCACTAAACATTTATTAAGCCTCCATAATGTTCAGTCCTTCATTTCAGGTTCTTCTGTTATATGCTGGCTGTCATATTCTGTCTTATGAAAGATAACAGTGATGCATGAGGTGGTCCTTAATTCTAAAGTGCTTCTAACCACTTTGGATTTATTTCTAGGGGCATATAAATTGAAGTAATTTAGTAAATGTAGTAAATTGTATCTACCTTTATTCATTCCAGAGGACTAAAACATCATTACCTGGTCTGTCTTTCTAGTAATTACATTAACTAACAAAATAAAAATCAACCCACTAGTTTATGTAGACTCTCCCCATTCCTTATGTATGGGGAGTGCTTAATGACTTGTTTCCCAAGAGAATAGTATGAAGGGTGGAGATACATACTTTTGTAGAAAAGCTTCGCAAAAACTCTTAGCCAGGGGATCAAGATGAAATCATCAGTGATAAGTCATAGTCATAATTTGTACCCTTGATGTGATCCAACAAGGATGACCTTTTACCTAAGTGATACTCCTCCTCAAAACCCATAACTCCAATCTTAATCATGCAAGACATCAAAGAAACCCAAATACAGAAAGATGTTGAATGTCCAGTGTTCCCTGAAACTACCAAGAACATCAAAAACATGGGAAGTCTTGCTGTCTGGGAAATGCAAATGAAAACTATGAGATATACTACCATACACCCATGAGAATGGTTCTCATACAAAAGACTGAAAACAAGAGTTGCTGAGGGTGTGGAGACAGGATCCCTCCTGCACTATTGATGGAAATATAGAATAGCTTAGCCTCTATGGAAACAGTATGGAGGTTTCTCAAAACACTTAAAATAGATGTGCCATTTGATCCAGCATTCCCTTAGCTAGGTATCTATTGGAAGAATACACTAACACTAATTTGAAGGAATATGATTCCCATGTTCACGCAGTATATTTATAATAGCTAAATTGTGGAAGCAACCTAAATGTCCAACAGACATGAGTGCATAAAAAAGATGTGGTATCTATATACAATGAAATACTACTCAACTATTGGGAAAATCACATGAAGTCTTGCCATTTGTGGCAATTTGGATGGACCTTAAGGGAATTATGCTAAGTAACGTAAGTCAGGAGAAAGACAAATACTGGATGCTCCCACTCACATAGAGAATATAAAAAACAAAGCTATGGAACAAATAAAATCAAAACAAACACTTGAAATCTTTCTGCAGAATGGAGGCTCCCAGAACAAGAAGGATGGGAGCATGGGGGTTGGTTTACACTGGACTATGGGAAGAATCATTGGAGCTTTGGTGATGGGCATGGTATGGCTGACCTGCTTTTGTGGAGGTGTGCACCTCTGTCTCTACAGTACTGTAATCCAGAGTTACCTCAGTCATAATTTTTAAAAAGCAAGGTAAGTCTGAGGAATTGTCATAGAAGTAAAGACACCAAGAAGACATGGCAGAATAAGATGTGGTATCCCAAATGGGATTTTGGAACAGAAAAGGGGCATTAGAAGAAAACTAATGAAATATGGGGTTTAATTAAAAGTAATGTGTCATTGAAAAAAATAATAATGTGTCATTGGTTCATTAGTCTGACAAGTGTGCTGCTGCTATACTAATGTAACCGATTAACAATCAGAGAAAATCAGTGCTGGATATAAAGCAACACTGCTTTTTCTGCAAATCTAAAGTTATTCTAAAATAAAAGTTTAAAAGTATAAAAGAAAGCCTTAATCATGGCATATACATTGTTTTGGGAGAGGCCAGGAGGTCCTTTCTCTCTACTGCTATTCAGGAATACACTGGCAGTACTTGCCAGCTCTAAAATATAAAAGAAGTCGTATAACATTATGGGGAAAAAACTCTTGGGAAAAGAGAAAAACATTCTGGAGCCCTGTTGAAGGTGGCGCTATTTAAGTCTCTTTCTAGTATTTGTGAAAAAAACTTTGTAATTGTGGCCCTCCCTGGTGGCGTAGCGGGTTAAAGCACAGCACTGGAAAGCTAAAGCCACCTCCTCATGAGGTCGATTCCCGATTCCACCTGACCCGGAGGTGACCGCATGGTGTGGCAGACCTCTCCTGACCCACCTGCTGCTCTCCTCAGCAGTGTTCTGCTCCCCACTCTGTCTCTGGTGAAGCCTCTCACCGCCCCCGAGCCTCTGGCCTGTACCCCAGTTCTGTATGCACAAATAAATAAATCTTGGAAAGAAAAAAAAAAACAACTTAAACTTTGTAATTGTTAGGGGAAAAGGAATTAAGTAAGGGCCATTTCTGAATGGCTTTGTTTTTTACATGGTATTTTTTTGCCATCTTTATTGAACAAATAATTAATATTGTGGGTTTGATTTCTTATTTTTAAGGATTGTAGTGAAATATAGACCTAGAAATCCCTTTGATTAGTTCCTTTTGTTGGAAGCAGATTGTATGTTTTGTTTTTTAGATTTAATATATCAGTTATCAATTTATATAGCTGTATCTCCTTTTCATATCAGCAAGTGTTCCATGATTATTTCTAGTGTTTATGTATGCAAATATAGCTATAGGATAAGTTTGTAGACAGGAATGCTAAATTAGAGCTTATATGCAGGGGGTGGGGAAGGTATGTGCATTTAAATTTTGAAATATATATTGCCAAATTAGAGGCATTTAGCTTTAGAAGATGAAAGATTTCTCATGTGTCCTATTTTACCAGAAGATTATGATTTGTTTTTAAAGTATTCAGAATCAGCTTTGCCTATTTGCCAACTGTATGTTTTTAAGTGGTCACATTAATGGCCAACTTCTTAAAATATAGTTGAAAATGGTTGAGTGAGTTACCAGTTAGTACTTAGATTCCTATTTTCCCTCTCCCACAGAGTTGCAAGGGAGCATCATCTGTTCTTGAAATGATACTTGTTTTAAAATGCTAGGGGTTCCTCTTTTCTTCCATTGAAGATGAGCATATTTGACAAAAAAAAAATTTTTTTATAAATGCATCTTGTAAGTGAAATGAGGTTTTGCTGCCAGGTGAGTGAAACAGTAATTGGAAATAATGATTTGATTTTCCTCTTTCTTAAACCCAATGCTTGACCCCCCCAAAAAAAAAAAGAAAGAAAGGAAAGTTAAGATTCCTGTGAGAGGTTGTCAAATTCTCACACTGTATATTTTCTTTCAGATTCCTTTGTTTCTTCCTCTTCCTCTCAGCCTGTATCTCTATTTTCGACCTCACAAGGCAAGTCTGTCATGTTTTTGTGCATTAGTAAAAGAAAAATGTTGAGAAAGAGGCTGTAACTGGGGATATGAGGCACAAGCTTTTTTATTGCCCCCAAACCCCTTAAAATAAAAATTGTAAGTCAGTCCTATTATTAAGCAGTGCCCCATGGATCATCTGTAAAGGTTAATAGAGTCGGCTAGGTGGATCCTGCAATATGACATACACTTAGTGGACTTTTGACTATTCTTAAAAATTAAAAACCTGCCCACAGAATTTGGAGTAGATAGGCTTATGGCTCCAAAAACAACCCACCTCCAGAATGGATTTAATTTACTTGCAGTCATGTAACTGGCTTGAAGAGGTAGAAGGTTTGCGGTGTGCTTCCTTCTGAGCTACCAAAGACCTACTTGGATACTTTAGTGTTAGCTTATCTGAAATTTGTCGCAAGAGCTAGACGAGATCCAAATTGCATAGGACATTGAGCAGTCAATTGACTTTTTGGCAAGCAGGTCTTTTTTTCTGGAGATAAGCTGTGGTTTTGTTTTTTTGTTTTTGTTTTTGTTTTGTCTTGAGGAAGGGAATCTCAGAGTGTGAAGCTGTAGTTTGTGAGGAAGAGCATTACCAGCTAGAAGAGAGAGCACTGCATGCCTCATTAAATTGCACTGATAATACAGTGCTGTTTCATTTGTTGTGCTCAGTCATATATAGGTTAGTAAAAAGCCCTTTTTTTAATAAAAGGCAATTAAACTCAATAGATAGAGCTAAGAAACCCTGTGCAAATCTTACGTCCCAGCTGGAATTGTCTACCTGCAGTCTAGATACTGGTTTACTAGAAAGACTTTGACTTTATCAGAATAAAAACATAATGGGGTGAAGGGAATGTAGGGCTATTTTTGCAAGGGTTTAATCTTTGTAGGAAACATGATACATAATTTGCTGCTTTTAATTCAGACATAATATCAGTGCCTTGGTCCCTTTATTGTATGTCTCATGGTGAGACTCTGGGGTCTTGGTCAGTTTAGAACCTTTGAAACTGACTTGTTTACATTAAAAGACAGACATTTTGTGAAGTTAAAAGGTAATTCAGGGCCCTCCCTGGTTGTGGAGCAGGTTAAAGCACAGCACTAAAGAAGCTAAAGCCACTGCAGCATTGAGCTCGATCCCCGCCCTAGAGGTGACCCACATGGTGCCACAGACCTCTCCTGACCCGCCTGCTGCCCCCCTCAGCGTGTACTTCAGCAGTTGACCTATTCTGCTCCCCACTTTTGTCTCTGGTGAATCCTCTCACTGCCCCTGCATCTCTGGCCTGTACCCCAGTTCTGTGTGAATAATAAATCTTTAAAAGAAAAAAAAAGTAACAAGGAACTCAAACACAAAAAGTGATTCTTGACATCTGGAAATCAACTAGATTTATATTGTTATTTTTTTCCTCATGAGAAATTTAATAATTTAGGTAAATTTATTCTACACTGGAAGATAAACCTGTAAAAATGTAACTGCTTCAGGTCTTTTAAAATCTTCATAATTATAACTTCACGTCACTTTTTCATACAGAGAAAGATGTTGATGTCCTAAATAGTATAACCTAGGTACAGAATACCTGTTTATGAAATGTTGAGAAAGATAATTGTCATACTTTGAAAAATCATTTTGTCTCATAGTAAAATTATACATACACTCAATAGAACGAAGGTAAATAAAAATTATTTTTGTAATTAAAAATTAAGTAGGTCCTCTGTTTCATAGTATAAGAGCTAGTAAAAAGAGCGTGTCGTTCTTTTGCTTTATAAAGAGTTTTACCCGTGCAAATTCAGGATGAATTTATGATTTAAAAGGTCATTTTTGGCCCTCCCTGGTGGCTCAGCGGATTAAAGCACTGCACTGAGAAGCTAAAGCCACTTCCGCATGAGTTGGATTCCCCCCTGCCCCGGAGGTGACTGCATGGCGGCGCGGCAGACCTCTCCTGACCCGCCCACTGCTCCCCTCAGCAGTGTATCTCTTCCAATCTGCCTGTTCTGCTCCCCACTCTGTCTCTGGTGAAGCCTCTCGCTGCCCCTGCACCTCTGGCCTGTACCCCAGTTCTGTATGTACAAATAAACAATCTTTAAAAAAAAAGAAAGGAATGTGCAAAATGATGTAAAAATAAACTTTAAAAAAATAATAATAATAATAATAAATAATAAAAAAAAGAAAAAAAAAGAAAGGTCATTTTTAAGAGGCATTTTAAAAACATATACCTGGGGTTGCTCCAGTCTAGCCTCTATTAGTAGTTTTTTCTTCTACAAAATCAAATAATGGATGGCCTCCGTCGTGGCTCAGGAGTTAAAGCCAGCACTACGAAGCTATTGTCAGCCACTCGCATGAGTTCATTCCCTGAGTTCGATCCCATTCACAGGCTTCAGTCCCTGGCCAGGGAGCTCCTGTCTTGCCTGCTGTTCCCCTCAGCAGTGGATTTCAATGGGTCCCCCTTGTTCTGTTTTCCACTCTGTAGTGAACCCGCTCTCTCTCTCTCTCTCTCTCACACACACACACACAGCACCTCTGGTCTGCACCCCAGTCCTTGTATGCATAAATGAAATTAATCTAAAAAAAAAAAAACCTGGACATAATGTAATGGAAAAGTAACCAAAGTGGTGCTCTGCTTAATTGGCAGGTCTAGAGGTCAGCTTGTGGGGTTGTTTGATGGAACACCTTGGTAAATGAGTAGGTGTGTTCTAGGGTAGCTAAGACTGGTAGCTTCTGATCTACCTTAATAAAAATAAGAGGAAAATGTTGATGTACTTGGGTTACTGGATCTAAATCTGGGGAGATTTAGTACATCCCAAACAGGCTTTTCATAGTGACTGCTGCCTTGAGTTCGTAACTGGCACTAACCCAACTAATATCAGTCTCTGGCCTCTGTGCCCATTAACCATTTAGCCTTGGAGAACTGTGCCTTATTTTTGTATACTTAGACCCCATTAAGCAATAAATAGTGACAATAAATAGGATATTTTCATATTCAAGAGTGATACATTTTTAACCCTGAAGTATGTATTATTACTGGGTTTCAGGAAAATGTATATGCCGAAAATTGTCATTTATTTGGACTAAGTCAAGAAAGAACAGCTAATTTTCCACATGTAGATTATATACTTTTTATTGAGTTTTACTACTTTAAAATATACAGCTACTTAAACTAAGAAGTTAAGCTTTTTGTAAACTAGTGGATAGATTTGTGATGAAAATACAAATGGGATATCAGTTCCTTCATAAATTTGTATTCCTCAGTAGGTCCAGTCTTATTTATCGCGTCCCTTTTTTCTCACCAAGCAGAATTAAATGTCAGCCTAATCCTAAGCATTTCAAAGTAGAGGAAATTTTAATGATGTTTTCTAGTACTGTGAAATGAAGTAGAAGCAGATAGAGATGTAGAATGTCACTAATTTTTACTGAGCTTCTACTGTGCTCAATATCTGATGTGAATCACCTCATTTAATCCCAGCCTACTTTATACAGTAAAGACACAAGCTAGCTGTTTTACTGTTTGAGGAGACTGGGGTTTACGTTAATGAGACAATGTGTGCAGTCACATACCTGGTGACAGACCTATGACTCCACAGCTCTGTCACAGCCACTACCTACAATAAAGATGATGCTGTACCTTAGTTGCTTTTAGCATTTAGAGATGTCATTTAGAGGATTTAATGTTAAAATCAAGAGAGCAAAAGAACAGAAATTATCATTTTAACCATATTATCTGTTAGTATCATCTGCTTGCCCCCTCAGACACAAAATCAAACTGAAATATTACTCTACTTTTGAAATATTTGATAAAAATGGACACTGAAAAATACTACAATTTTCTTTAGAAAATACTGGATGAAAAGTAAGTGAAAATAATATTGGGAGGAGAGACCCAATCATGCAGGATTGAAAACACATTAGCTGTAGTGAACAGTTGCATTCAATTTGAGTAATGCAGTAGGCATCTGGAATAGGAAGTTAAACACTGAACTTTGGGGCATGCTTTGAGAAAATAATTTGCCAGTTACAGCCTTTTTTTTTTTTTTTTTAAATAAAAGCAAAACATTTTTCTTTGTACAAAAGAGACTTTCTGTTTAGGATTAGCTTGGCTGCAAAGTGTCTGCTGGCTAACTTCCTATTTTGATGCTGTGGCTGAAAGTTGCTGGTACTGTTTTGCACGATAATTTGTCTCTCCTTGTTTTGTGAACATGAGAAAATTCAAGTGTAGGAAGACCTACACCTGAATATTTCAAGCCTTCTTGTATGAATATGCACAGTATGTATGTGGAAAAAATAACATAGTTGCTCCTGCAGGCTGGCACCCTTTCTTTACTGCTTGTGTATGGTTTTTCCATGTTACAAGTATCCTTTCAATTAAAAGTAATTAATGTCCTGGAGGTGAGCGGGAGATGTAACTAAATGGTAACTGACATTCTTAGCTTTTCACTCTTTTTATACCTCTGATACTGGATAAAGCATACATTACTACTTACTTTTTCTAGGTCACATTGTATTTTCAGTAATAAAGTTTAAACACTAGAGTAAAAAAGTACTAAATTTCTAAAAGAATACAGAACAAAACTGAGGAGTTAGTTTATAAGAAAAACATGTAAAGCTTTTTTTCCCCCAATTCATTTGTTTTTACTTGATAAATACACAGAATTCACTTGAAAGGTTTTTTGTTTTTTCTTTCCCACCTTGTTCTTTGAGGTAAAATACTCCGGGCATTGAAAAGGGGAAATTCTTCAGTTTCCACAATAGTCTTTAGTCAAGTAGAACTTTTCTCCTTGATCCAATAAAAACTTTGTTACTGTACTTTAAAATTACTGTAAAATTACTGTTCAGCAGGTAGAAAGGACCACCCTATAAGTTGTGCTTCTGGACAAAAATGGTCTATAGTGAGGAATCCCGTCTTTCCTGTGTGATTTTTATAGGACTAGAGTTTTAAAGTGCAGCTAAAACTGATAACATGCAGTAAAGCTGAGGTTCTCAAACCAGGTTCACTACCTAGGAAACTTATAATACAAATTGCTGAGATCTATCCTCCTCTGGAAGGTCTGAGTCAGTCACTCTCAGAGAACACCCATGAAATACTAGTAGTTACTCTGAAGTTTTAAAGTAGTTTAAAAGGTTGCACCCAAAAGCTGTTTTTTGTGCTAGAATGTTTAGCTAGTTGAACATTGAACTAAAGTATACATTTGACCGTGATGATGATAAAGATAATTTACTGCACATTTTATACAAGGAAAGTTCTTTTATCTTTCAGTCCTGGCTTGGAATATCTTATTTCTTGGGCTCTCTTAAATGTTGACTCACATAGAACCTAGTGCAGTTCTTGGAATGTCATAGGCATTTGATTTGTACTAAATGATTCAGAAGTTGCATCACCCAAAGTCTTGAAATAGATTAAAGCTCTTTAAATTACTTCCTTTTATTTGTGAATGGGAGGAGTGAATGTCTAAAACACTGAATGAAAATTTTCTGTGCTATACACCAGGTGAAGGTGGTTAAAATTTGACAAATGTGTTTTTCCTTTCCAGACCCCATATGATCTGGAGTCTGTCAGGAAGATCATTTTTGAAAATACAGTGCTTGAGAACATTTATTGAGGATTTTGCAAAGTACCAGTTACAGTTCTAAACACTTCACATATATGAACTCTTTTGATCTTCATAGCAATTTTTTAGATTCAGAACTTGCCCAAGACCACATGATTAATAGAAATTTGCATCTTTTAATAGGAATTTTGGTTTGGCAATGGTCTAGAAATGTAGGATTTGATGGCCATCTTGTAATGTATGTGAAGGACTGGATCTTATGAAAAAGAAGTAGATGTTTCCTTAGAAGTAAGGTGATCCAGAGTTATTCTACCAGAGGTTTACAATGTATAATTTTTACACTAACAGCCTTTTCCGCAGTTTGTACAAGAACAAACTTGGACAACACCAAAGACTATTTAGTGCAATACTGCCTAGTTGGAAGAACTTTTGCTTTTTGGTAGCCATTTTAAAGGATTTGTTGTAATCCGATCTTTGTTCTAGTTAACATTTTTATGCCACTATCAAGTATTTACCTCCAGCAAATTTTTTTCCATTTTCTTAGTAAAGTCAGTTCTCTTCAAGTTTGTTAGGGTCTCAACCAAGCTGCAGAAATATCATTTTCTGAAATTCCAGACAAGATAGTTTAATGAGGGTGTGAGTTTATTTGCTACTTGAGAAAACTTGCTTGAAAATCATGAGAACTAGCACCTGCATCTTAAAATCTCGCAGGTATGAATGCAAAAGAACGAAGAGCGCTCTGTTTACCCCCTAACTTGCCCTCCAGAAAACATAATCTATCATAAAATCATTATTAGGGAAGTTGAAGTTATTTTGTATATGTTATATCATTTAAAGACTCAGTAAAATGTTTGAAGTCAAGGCAGTTATTTAGCATGAGACTTGGCATTCTAACTTAACCTTCTAGCTTTACCTCAGACAATGATATACTTAATGCAATACATTGGAGTATTTAAGAGTTCAAGGAAGAGAGGAGAAAAACAAATTTTGGAAAGCCTTTGTATCCTAACAGCAGAAGACATTTCTACCATTTCCCCTCCCTCCCTCTGTAATATGTGTATTTCTACGATTAGCATTCTCTGTGGGTTACTTTCTCATTTCATCTAGCCCATTACATCATCACTTACTGATCTTGTCTGTCTCCTCTATTTTTTTTTTTTTATGAACTCCAAAAAGGATTTTTTTTCACTGTTTTTAACCCAGTTTCTAAAATAGTTTCTGGCACATGAGAGGCACTTGGTATTTAATTACTATTACTTTTGTAAGATGACAGGTCAAAATCATCTGAAATGACAGTCTCTATAAAGCATAAATTGGTGTCCCTGTGAACTCAAGTGTGTTTTGCTCAATGGTGTTCACTCCTGTTTGAGAGGGAATTCCCACACACTTTAACCCAGATTTAGTCCATTGAATATTTCCTGGTGGAAATAGTAACCAGTAAATTTGGTAACATGGTAGCAATACATAGCTTAGATTGTGAGTTATTTCTTATTTAAATATAACCTGTAGTTCTTTAAACTTAGCTTTTTTTTTTAATCTACCATGTTTAGCTTTACTTCTGTCTTTAATCCACTCTTGCTGAATATCCATACAGCGTGGATGCAAACATGTTCATTACATTAGACTGAAATACAACTTACAGTTTTTGTCCCATTAGTAGTTTGCATCATCAAACTTTTAACTATTTTTTCTCAACTTAAAAAGACCAATTCCCAGATATTGTTATTCTGTTCTAAAGGTCAGATCCTATTACATCAAATTTCAATGGTGTGTTGAAATGAGGAACTTTATTTTGCACTTGGGGAACATTTTTATAATAGTGGGGTTTTATTTATCATACCAAGATACTTAATTCTTGGTTTCTTTTTGTCTTGTTTCTTTTCTTCATAGAATTGTTTTGAATAAAATCATAATTTTGGTTGTGTCTAATGTTACTCCGTTCTCATAAGAAAAAGAGCATATGCTGAGAATAAAGGTAATCCCAAAAGGCCTTTCCTTTCACGTCTTCCTGCTCATTCACATTCAAGGCATTGCTATCTTTAAATCTGCTTAAGTCTCACCTGACCAGTCAGAATCTTAGATTCCTTCATTTGTAACTATTTAAGACCTGTTTTGTTCCAGCTTCAGAGATACAGTGATACACCACAATAAGACAGCACCTGCTTTTAGGATGGTTATTTTGATCTTTCGCCTTGATAAACCTTGCCACACAGGAAAGTTGTAAAACAACATGCTGAATCTATAACTTATAAGATTGAAAGTACTACTTCTAGAAGGATACTTTCTATTTTAAAGACTTATTTCTGGAGTTAACTATGTCTTAACTAAAGCAGCTTATTTGCATGGGTCAGTTTTAGTTAATTTGGCAAGTTGGTGCAAATTTTGGTCTAGAGCACCCTTTTCAGTGTCCTTTAGTTTAGAATATTGAGGCCATCTGTACCTGGGACAGATCCTCCCTGTGGACAGAATAATACTAACCTTATTTTCTGGATTAGGAGGGGCCCATTACGTCACCTAAAAATCAGGTCACTTTTTTGCCCTCTCAGATTGTCATACTATAAAAGTGGATTTATAGAAGCAGTATGTTCTAAATTGTTCATTTTACAGATGAAAGTATATCAATCCTTCATAATACCAAGTTGTTTGTTTTATATAGGTTACATGGTTTCTAGTGAATAGCTGGTTCCCCATATTTTTCAATCTCGTTACCCTTTTTTATACATTGGGAAAAATAAACTGAAAAGTATTTGTCATGAAAAACTTCTGTCACTTGCAATTTGTAGCATGAGGCTTTTCTGTTTTACTATTTGCAAATTTTATGCATGTCTTGAAGGATAACTGTTGATCATTGTATTACATTTGTGTGTGTATACACATCCTCTGTGTGTGTGTATACATATGTGTAATTTTAAAAATGAAAAGCATGCTGCTTGGCCTAATTAGCTAATGTGTAATTGTACCTAGTAAACAATTTTTTTCTTTCAAAATCTGACAAGAGGGGATTAAGCTCTTTTTGCTCTGATGAGCCACCTACAGAAATTATAATTTCTTCTTCTTTTGCATCCTCTGAAATACATAACACTAATATTAGAATACTACATGAAGAAAAAAAGCAAAATGTTAGGCAGTCAGCCTGCTGTACCAAAGGGGAAAAAGACTGCCTGGCTTTGCTAGCTGTGAAAGATGGAAAAGCCTCAGAAGAGCAGTAAAAGCATAGCCAACTGACTCCCCAGTCCATTGCTGCAGGAGTTCATTGTAACCTTCCTTCCATTCCAGCCAGTTGCCTTGATCATACTGCTTTTCTCTCAAAAGAAGTTGGTCAGATGGAACAGCAAATAAAGAAAGATCAAGAATCCAGGAACACAAGTGAAATACCAAGTAGGGAAGATAAAACTGCCTTGGATGTTGATAAGTTCACTTTGCAAACAGCCCAGAAACCACCGACTGAATTATCTAAGGCAGAAAGCATTTGTCCATATTCCTTATCCCCGTCTGAAGTTTCAGGAGGCAGTATTACTGAAAAGGATTCCCCTGAATCACCATTTGAAGTAATTATTGACAAAGCGGCATTTGATAAAGAATTTAAAGATGCATATAAGAAGTGCACAAATGATTTTGTTAGCTGGGCAATGCACACTGATAGTGAATCATCTGCAGACATTTTGGAGTCTAGTGACAAAGTATTTCCATTGCGAAGTAAAGAGGCAGGGCGTTATCCAACTTCTGCATTGCTAACTAGACAGTTTTCACACACAACTGCAGCATTGGAAGAGGTGTCTAGGTGTGTGAATGATATGCATAACTTTACCAATGAAATACTGACTTGGGATTTGGTTCCCCAAGTGAAACAAAAGAGTGATAAGTCTGACTACATAGCAAAAACTACAGGACTTGACATGAGTAATTATGATTCAGAAATTCCAGTGGTAAATCTTAAGGCTCATCAGAAAATTCCTGTATGTTCTGTTAATGGAAGCACTCCTATCACTAACTCAACAGGTGATTGTGCAGAAGCTTCTTTCACCCAAGAAAATGCCATTAAAAAATCTATAGCAAACTCTCCAGGTTGCACAAAAGAAGTCATTACCAAAGATGTGCAAGACAAGGCACAGAAACAAGATGACCCACTTTCAAAGTTGCCTGGGTCTCCACTTGAGAAATGTGTGTCTTTGGGTTCTGGAGTGGCTTCCGTCAAGGTGGTTTTACCTGATGACCACCTGAAAGGTGAACTACACTGGCAGAGCTCCATGTTGGGAGAAGTGACAGAGGTGGATAGCTCTGGCGAATCTGATGACACCGTAATAGAAGATATCATGGCAGACACATCTTTTGATGGTCACAAAATTCAGGCAGAAAAACCTGTTTCTGATCCAAGTGCTATTGTAAAAATAGATAAAAGGGAAATTAAAGAAATGCTCAGTTGTACTAAGAAAAACAAAACATTAGAAAACTCTGAAGGGTCAGTCAGTGACTGTGAACCACAAGTTCAGTCTGATATTCTTGAAAGAAATCCAGCACCTTCCCAAGTACCTGATGAGAATGTCATGTCAGAAGCTATGAAACAGTCAGGTAGTGTGGGTGAAGTTGCTCCTGCAAATACTGCTGCAACTGACAACCCTAATCTTTTTTCTGCAGCATCTCCAACTGTTGTTAAGGAGACAAAATTCTCCCTAAATGTGACAGCATCTACCTATTTGGAGTCATTACATGAAAAAAGTGTTAAAGATATAGATGATTCTTCCCCTGAGGACCTGATAGCAGTTTTTACAGAAACCAGTGATAAAGTGATGATAGATAAAGGGGAAGAAAATGCATTTGAAGCAACATCAGGCAAGACTGTGAACTTTAAAACAACTCTTCCTGTAAAAGACTTGCATGAAAGTGAGCCAAATGGTGCAGAAATGAAAGACATAACAGGCAAATACACTGAACAAAAAAGAAATGGAAGGGAGCTTCTGGATATTTTTCCTACTCAGGATTCTCCAGTGGCATCTCTTGACTTGGAACAAGAACAGCTCACAATCAAAGCCCTTAAAGAGCTTAGTGAAAGGCAGGTTGAGAAGTCACAGGCTGAATTAGACTTTGCTTCTAAAGAAATACACAAGCCGTCTTTCACCTTTGCTCCAGAATCTTCTTGGCCACAGAGATCAAGTGCTGTCCTAGGACATCTGGATGTAAAGACTGGATCTGATCTTGGGATTTCAAAAAAACCCACTATTGTCAAAGCAGCTACTAAGGTAGATACTGTTTCCAGCCTTAGCAAGACTGAACTGGTAAACAAGCATGTCCTAGCAAGACTTCTGACAGACTTCTCAGGTAATCATTTATATTAGAAATACTGCATGTGGTTAATTCTGCTATGATTGATTACATACCTGAGTTTTGTTTTTCTTAGTCTTTTATTTATATTAATAAAATTATAACTGAAATAAAAACACTATAATGGGGAAAGACAGATTTTTTTTAATGGTTGCTAAGTTGGTTTTCTTATACCACTATCCCCAAGAACAGTAAACCAATGGTTAAAATCAACACTCTTACCAGAAAATCTTTCTGCTCCCATTATATTTCAAGGTTCTCCCAGATTGATCGCTGCTTTTAAGAACATCATCAGGCTTTCATTTCTAAATCTCCATAAAAGAAATAGTGCTTAGTTCTTGGATTTTTGGATATGGGCCGTGTGAAAATCTATTTAGCAATCAAAGATAAAAGAATTCCTGCTGGACCAGACAGTAAATGAAACTTTTAATTAAATGATTATTACCCCACAGAGATTTTATGCTCTGAAAGTAGGTAAGCTATCTATAGTACGGTTTTGTGAGTAATACTTAAGAGAACTCATGTCTTCTACTTTGGACCTCTCAGTGTTCTTCAGGCTATTAGATGGTACTAGAAGTCCAACTCCTAGATTTAGTTGAATAATTACTTGCTAACTATAGGCCTTCGTTTAAATTACTATCTGTCCTGGGATCTTAGAAAATGTAAGGAAAAAAGGCTATTTAAAGCCCTCCCAAAGGGATCCCCAACCTTTACTCTTATACCAAAATCTGCACTTGTAAGGGGGAAAGGATGTCCTGAAGAACTCTACAGGTACAGGTCTTGTGGACTCCACCCCCAACCCAGATACTGGAATTACAAATCCCATTAATACAAATAGAAGCCTTCTGGGACCTGAGGGTGGAGTTAAGCAGCCAGGTTTGGATATAAAACAGGACTTGTGGGCTTGGGGGCTGGGGGGGTCTCTTGGCCTCATGGCTCCTGGCTTGTCTCTTGGCTCTTCACCAGCTCTCAGCGTGCTCTTGGGGTTCCAGGTCAGCAGAACGGGTAGGACACATTCATCAACATCTCTCTCTCTTTCCCTGAGTTATTCATTTCCCTTTTCCCTTGTAAATAAACCCCTTATTAACCTTTTTGTGTGTGCCTGCAGTTGAATTTTAAGCACATGGGTGAGGACCCACCGTCAGGCAACCCAATTCACATTGGGTATACTACATAGTAGATGTTAGGTGCTATGTAGAAGGATCTAGGATTTTCCGAATTTTATTTCACGATAGCTTCCTTTTGTCAAGTGAAATCATACATGGAATTAAACTAAAAATTTATTAAGATAAATTTATAAGTGGGGTTGTGCCATTTAGTTTTATCCATAAAGTTTTTACTATCCACAGATTGTAGAGCAGTGCTCCATTCTTTACCATCATTTTCCTCTTCTCCCTCTTCTTTCCTCTTCTTCCTTGGGGAGGCCAGAACTTTGTTCAGCTGCCTTCAGGTTGCTACTCATAAGGAGCTAAGCCACACCTCTGGGATCTTGTCCTGCACACACTTGGTGGGCTTGTAGGGGTGCTCATAGCTGCGGCACCCCAGCTTGTTCATCCTTGGTCCCTGGTTGAGGCCCCTGTCCCTGGGATATCACAGGCCATGGCTTCAAGGTGCTTTCTTACTGAAGGCCATGGGCAGATACCTTATCTTTACAAATTTTAATCTTTAAAATAGAGGTCATAATTGTACTTACCTTATTAGTGTTGTATGGATTAAATATGAAAATACCAGGTTAATGCAAAGTTTAGCACACCAGAAAACACTCATTTAACACCAACTACAAGATGTGGAGTATAGTATGTTACCGGGTAATTATTTGTTAATTGCGTTGTTAATTATCAGTGAAAACACTGAGGCTTTTTTATAAACTCAGAAATTTGAAATGGTAGTTAAGAATAGCTGTTAACACTCCAATAGTTGAATATTACTGAATTTGGATTAAAGCATGCTACATTCTGATTGTTGCTTTACTGTGTCTAGAAGGGGGCTGTAATTAAGTTACATAACCTCTGGGGGCTCAGTTTCCTTATCTGTGAAATGAGTATGTTGAAGTAGACTATCTTCAGTATTATTTCAGTAACATGATTCTCTTCTGGTACCATCTTCGTTTCTTCCTGAGTTGTCATAATTATAGGTAGTTTTCTTGAGTGATGAAACATACAGGAATTAAACTATAAGAACTCCAGTCTAATTCTGGCAAATTCCTACTTTATTGTGACCTTAACCAACTAGCCTAACTGGTTTAGTCACTTTATTTGTTGATATGGTAATGATAATTGTTTGGCCCTGCTTTATAGTGATTTTGTAAATACTAAGTATTAGTAATTCTCAGCTAAATTATTTAATCTAGGGTGAGAGGGCCTGTGGATGTTGGGACATTTATTATGGGGTGAATTCTGTTATTAGTAGATATTTTAAGAAATTGAAGATGGCCAGTATAATTAAACCAACAGCATGAAAAACCTTGCACACGGATTCAAAATTGGAAATCTTTTTAAATTGTCTTACTTTGAAGAAATTTCTTGAAGTATAAGCTACTCAGTAAAATAAATCAGTAATTCTAAGAATAGATTTCCTTTCTAAAATAAATCATTTTCTGTAATGTTTTCTGTACAGTTGAAGCAAATAGGAAAAAAACAGAAAATGGCATTTTGTTTTCTTTTGCTACTTTATGGTCGATTGTGTACAGGTTTCTAGTAAAGCCTAACTTTCATTCCCTTCAAAATGATAATATAGTTAGTCATTTAGTACCGACAGTATGTTCTATGGTATGACTAATCATGTGGGAAGAAGTTAGATTCCTGCCTCATAAACCTAATTAGAAGAGCATAGTTTTTTGAGTTTCCATATCTTGATTGGCAAAAATGCAAGAAAATAGGCAGGTAATACAGTTTGTTGATAGGTATTTAAATTGTTATAACTTTTCTTGACGGCAGTTAAGTAATATTTACCAGAGATCTAAGACCTAGCAGTTTGTTTCTTGGAATTTATTTTAAGCAAAAAAATAGATTTAAAAGCAATTACAAAGTTGTTCTTTGTGGCACTGACAATGGCAGTAGTGGGTATCTTAGAGATGGTTGAATATGTTAGGACATTGCCCTGCAATTGCATGTTATGCCATTGAAGTTGTTACAGATTTCTTTTTTTTTTTTTTTAAGAAGTGGGAAAACAATAAAAAAGTACAGAAGGACATACATTGTTACTTTTACATGTAGAGTTACCTTACACTAAGTGGTAAGGTTAGTGGTCAAGTTACAGGGCAGGGAGAGTGACGTACCCCTGAACCCCTAAACCTGCCTGCTCTAAATAGGTTCTGCCATCCTCCACATCAAGACAAGACATAAGAGCTTTAGTGGAAAGGAACTTTAATACAATTAGTGTACAATACAGAAAAGACAAAGAATATGGTTTCTAAATCAAACAGCCGAAGTTACCCGCCTCCTCGTGGGTAAAAGTCCACTAAAAAGGGATTGGCCCAAAGCAAGGCCTGAAAGCTCTCCACAAGCCTAAAATGTCTTTGACCCATAGAAAAGGGTCAAAAATGGCCAGGCAAATCTGGGAGGAAAAGAGCAAAATCAAGATAAACACTGCCATAGTCAACCTCCCCACAGGTCTCTCACCCACATCCGTTTCAACCAGTCCAGGGCCAGAAGCAAGCACAGTTTCTTCACATGTCTCTCTGCTCAGTGTGGCTTCCTCAGGTCTCCTGGCTCTCCATCCTGCTTCTTCCTTCTGATTCCTTCTCTACTCTGCTCAGCTCCACCCTCCTCCTGAGTGGAGTAGGGGACCCAGAACTTTCCCTTTTCCAGGGGCCTGTTACAGTCACATTTGCTTCCAAACTGAAGGACACTTTGTTTACCACCTCATCTCCTCTCTCTCTCTCTCTCCCTGAAGCTAACCACCATCATGAACCTGATACATCCTTCCAAGTTTTAAGTGTGTATGAGATAGTATTTTGTGGTTCTTAACCTTTGTTAATTTGTCATTGTTACACAACTTTATTCATTTAACATTAACACCTTTCATGTTTTAATATATAATATGTTTTATTAATAACAGCTATATAGTAACATACCATTATTTCCCTTTTGATTAGGATCTGGGTTATTTTTCACTTACAATACTGAAGTTGTACTACAGTAGCACTGTTGCTGTGCTGCTACAGTACTGCTGAAGCACTGAAGTTCGCATCCTTGTCTGTTTTGCACACGGGCATAGGTTTTTTTTTTTTAGGGCCGTTGCTGCAGCTTATCAGTTTCATTGTGCTTCTAATTACTGTCAGTTTTCTGTCAAAGTTCAGATTCCTGCTGCTACGTGAGATATTCATAATTTAGAAACAAACACTAAATTGAACATTTAGTTGAGTGTTTATTTTATGACACATGCTTCATGTAGAAAAATTAAGTTAGAAAGCAAGGTATTCAGAAGAATCCCTATTTGGTGTTACTAAAAGTCAGTCTGTAGGACCCTCCCTGGTAGTGCAGCAGGTTAAGGCGTAGCACTAGGAAGCCCTCCAGAGCCACTGCAGCATGAGTTAGATTCCCCACCAGGAAGGTGAAGCACATGACATGGCAGGCCTCTCCTGACTGGCCCACTGCTCCCCTCAACAGTGTGCTTCAGTACATCTGCATGTTCTACTCCCCACTTTTTTCTCTGGTGAATCCTCTCGCCCCCTGTACGTACAGCTTGTACCAGTTCTTGTATGCATAAATTAATCTTTTTTTTAAAAAAAAAGTTAATATATATACCTATACACAGGGAGTTGGAAATAAAATTTTAAAAACAAGATCGCGGTAGTTTTTTTTTTTTTTTCCCAGTGTGAACAAGTAGGCTTTTTACTAGATCTGACCCTTCTGCATGTTACTGTATAGTTTGGACAAAACTAGAAGAAGAAACAAGGACTAGAAAGCACTGGAAAATGAACAAAAGTAGTCAAGTTATTAAAAATTACTTAAGAAGAGATAACAGGAAATTAGTTGGCCATCTTTATTGCTTTT